TTGCTGAATTAAAATTATACTAACACTTAAAGATGCACCTTGAACTGGGGTGTGTTTAAATACCATTCTTAAACATTCTATTTGGATAAATGGGATAGGTGAAGAAGTTACCTCTTCCAATTTCAAAAAATTGTCACTACTGTTGAATGCCTTCACCATGTACTTATTTCCCTGAGCATCTTCGCACATCAAAAGCTAAAAAAAAAGGACAAATAGTTGTTTGGAAACAAATTTGAACTTATTTACGAAACTTATTTTAAGAAAAATGTTTGCTAAACCAACACAATTTTTTTTACTTTACTTTGTAAATGTAAAGAGTGGTTGATAGTAAAGCTAAGTCCAGAAAATCACGAGTCCTAAACATTAGAACAATTGAAGCGATTAGCTATGGAGAAATCAAGGGCACACGTACCAGTCAATAGCTTGGAAATGAAATATAACTTTTTTGTAACAAATTATGTGTACTGTTTTTGTGAAAATTACAAGCCCCCAGAACAAATGTCACTAATGTCACCATTTAGAATATCCGTAGTTAGGGAAAGATTTTTATTCCTTGCAAGAGAGCAATTACTTAACTTAGCAACCTTTTCTTTAAACAACCAATTTTCAACAATCATGATTACACACAATCCGGTTGATAGGGTTGCTGGAAAATTTATGGAGCACTTTTCCGATTGAGTCTCGTAAAACCACACCCAGAGTTGTGCCAACTGCCAATTAGAACAAAGGCAAATGTCAGTTGTTAGGAGCCAATGAGAGCATAAAGCATAAACACGCGAAATACTTAAGTGCGGGTCTACAAGTCCCGTTTGATTTTAGTCTTGAGTGGTGCGAGTTTCTTGGTAAAGGTCGTCAAAATCATTACAATCCAGAATCACTTTCAACACTAAGTTGTCAATTGCTCTCTCAAGAACTGCAAAATCCCCGAAATAGTAATCGCGCTCTTATTAATCAGTAGGTGTGTTGAGATAAGGACGAGTAAAAGACTTTAGATCCACGAGTGCTATAAAAGCATATGTTCACAACAGCCTTCTCCAAACGCTCAAGGGGGGAGGGTATCGGCAGAACTATCACATTCCGCCTTTATGTTAAGATCAGACAGGGAAACTACGGAAATCGAAATCGATTGCGAAATATTGTGACAATGTCCACTGTTTCCAAGACTTCATCGTGTAGTTATTCATCCGGCTTTTCGGTTGTACACGCATTTTGGCAGCGATCTTCACAGACCACTCACTCATCTTAACAGGTATACCTACTTACCAAGAAGCTTTTCTGCAATGCATTTTTTCCCAATGCTTACTAAAGCATCCGCCAGACACCCTACCAATGCATTTCTCCCTTCTTTCTGTTTCCACAAGAGGAGTAAGGCGTTTGCTTTGTCGCGACTACAGCAATAATCGTTATCCAGGTTTTGGATCTTTGCTGCAGGGATATCAAGCTTTGGTCCCAGCTCACGCCAGCAAGTACCTACGTCATCACTTATGTCTGAAAGTTGCAGTTCTGTTACCACAGAGATCCCTGGGTCGTTGTGTGCACAAAGAGATATTAGATTGTTAGCTAAATCAACGTTTCAATTGGATGTAGTTTTTAACATTGGATTACGTGAGGCATCTTAGTCCAAATTTGATGAGGTTTTCTTCTTGCCTTGGAGTAAAAAACTTACCTGGTGTTAATTGTACAATAATAACGTAGAGGGGTTAAGCTTCTGTATAGCATAGTGAATTTTAAACAGCAGTATATGATCTCTATATAAACTCTACGCACTTTTCATAAATTTCTAAATTAATTTTGGTAATAAATAACTCTAAGTTATTCATTCTCGGCTGTACTTTAGTCGACTTTGTTTTTTGGGAGCTGATTTTGATTTTGGATATTTCTGGTCTCCAGCGGCTTCATCAATATTAGTTATATCCGAAATTTAATTCACATATCTTCAATTGTTATTTCAATATTGCTTAAACTCTTTCAAACGTCACGCATCTCCTTGGTTATATTTATAACAAGATCTTACAATTGCCATAGTCAACCACTGAAGCATAACACAATACTCAGCAAACATAATGGATGTCAGTCTACGGGCTCCTGCAATTTTGTTAGTCTTTAAAAAAATTTACTCGTGCTTATTTATTCCAAATTGCACTCGAAATCATGTGATTAACTATAAAAACAGTGCTGCTTCCATCCTGACTTTTAAAAAAGGAGCAGCGTGATAAACTTGAGAAAAAAAAAACTCATTGTAAATGGAGCCAGTTCGAGTTAGTACCTGCCCAGTCATGTTAGTCTCTAAAATCACTATAGCGGAACATATGTTAACCTTATACATTGTAAATATTACTCTAGTTTATCAACGCGGAAATGCAACAATCTCGCATCATTGACAACTAAACTAACATCATGAAATATATAGAGCTTTAAGGTTAAATAAAAGACAATTAAAAAACACAGATTAATCACTTTAAGATCGATGACAAGCGCCCACGAAGACTCCCAGAAAGATTTGATAGTTAAATTACTGTTAAGTGATTGATTAAGCTTTGCCGATACAGAAAAACGTGCACCTGCAGAACCAAAGGATAATACTTAGAAACTGAACACAAGTAGTATTCTGACAAACTACCGAGACTGAACTAAACTAAATAGCCATACCTAAACCACGTACATAAATTTTATATTATGAAAGCTTACTTCTAATTTCAGTAGCATTCTCAGCTTCTATTTCGCTTGTCGCAGGCAATGCCGGCGTCTTTGTTTCCTCGGAAGCCATAGGACTTGCTTCTCTTCTCTCTTCTTCTTGTTGTTTCCTCAATAAAACTTTACTTTCCCTCTGTGAACTGATAAAAACTTCGATGTTAACCTGAGGGCATTTTCGAAAATATATTTAACCACATCTTGCCACAAGGAAATTAATATTACTCAATTGTTTGCCTATGTGTTCCTTCTCGTCCACTTCCACCACTGAAGCTACTCAAATCCTTGTGATATTGACAGAACTGACAGCTTTCACCTTCGAGTCAGCAAGTACAACAAAGTGTAGCAGATTACTACATTTCTCTCCTCATGGATGAATTAATCTAATGATTAACAAACATGATGTGATGAAAAGGGAAAAAAACCACCACAAATCATCATACCGAGGCTGCTCCGGATGAATGCAGGGCATTTCGATTTCCAACCACATCTTGTCACAAGGAAATTAATATTTCCTTGGGGGGAGGGGGGAAAAGTCGAAGAATTTTGAGAGAGATCATATACTTTTCATCGAGAGGGGAAGGGAGGGGGATTCAGTTGCGCTAACAGATTGCAAAAGGGGACCATGGAAAACATTTGTCAATGAAGGGGATCATTAGAATACTACCAAGGTGGGGTCAGGTTAATTTTACTGAGTCCAGGAGATATCATGTCGCAACATGACCAAGCTCGTTGTCAGTCCAGTCTCATAATTACATCAAAATATGTTAATTGGTGCATAAAGGATGTTTATCTTTTTCATTTAAACAATGGAATTGGATATTACCTTCTTAAGAAATCTTCAACCCTTAACGTAAAAAAAAAATTTCATCCATTGATGTATTAATAACATTCTCGTTCCCAGAGCCCGTCAGTTTTCTCGGCTGCCAGCGGCTCAGCACCGATTTAAAATAAAAAGAAGAGCTCTAGACACGCACAAAATTAGCCTTTTTTTTCCAAATTTGTCAATTTGTAGGAGTAAAAATTAACTCGCACCTCGAAAGATTAAACTCGTAAGTTTTCTTCGTCTCCGAGTCTCTCGATTCTAGCTCTGGTAATCATGACGTAAAGTTCAACAAGCAGTTATTGTTACAAAAATCAGACTCATGGTAATTATCGAGGTACTGACAATTGAAATCGAAATCAGGTGAGAATACGAACAACCCCTTTTTTTTAATTTCAAGGGGACGAAAAATTTCAAGTTCATACGCACACATAAACATTTGAATTTTCATCCAAAAGTAAAGAGAGTTTTTCGCTGATAGAGCTACTTGGAGACACTTGTAATAGAATTAAAATGAAATTTATAATCGAAAAATAGCACTTCGCCATCTAATTAGGCAAGACTTCTATCTCCAGGTATCGTGAATCCTCGAACACTCTTATGATCCAAAGAAAATACACTTCAGAAAGGCAGTGTCGTAATTTTAAATTTGCCTCTCGCCTCTTTTAGTCTCTGAGTTCTTCTGTGTTGTCTCCCGCACCCGAATCTTTAGTTTGATGTTCTTCATCGCTAATTGCATTTGAGATCGTTAGGAGAACGCAAGTTGTCAACTGTGCTCTTAATTATTCACAAAGCATTCGCGAAATATTTCAAGGTAAAAACAGCGCTCTATTCATAATTCATGCCATTAACAGAGGAATATTCATGATAAAGTCGCGAGGGAAATAACAACGTGCAAACTTGTCGGTTTACTCACAATATAACCACAGGCTATACCCGAACGCTCAATTAGCTTACAGCGTGCATCATAGCACTGAAACTGTTCTTCTGAAAGTGAAGAATGACATCCTGCTCAATATGAATAAACAACATATAACCCTTCTAGTGCTACTTGATCTTAGTGCTGCTTTCGATACAGTCCAGCATAATATCTTGCTGGAGGCACTCAATACGCTGGGACTTAGGGGCAGGGTGTCCAAGTGGTTCCGATCGTATTTATCAGGGCGCAGTCAGAGGATATTAGTTCGTGGGTGTCTGTCGAAGAAGTTTGATTTGAACTATGGAGTACCCCAAGGCTCCTGTTTAGGACCGCTCCTGTTTACCATCTATACAAGCTCGTTATTAGACGTCGTCGAAGAATATCTTCCATCTGCCATTGTTATGCAGACGATACCCAACTTTACGTCTTTCCACCCCGCAGATGAGACAGGTCACTTGGATGCCATTACTGCTCTTGAGTGTTGTATCAAGGCGATCAGGTTTTAGGTGCGTGAGAATAAACTATTGTTGAACGAGGAAAAAACTGAGCTTCTTTTAATTGGCACGAAGCAGCAGCTCGCCAAAGTTGATATTGGACACATTAAAGTTGGCAAAGTAAATATAGCTCCGCACTCTCCTGTTAAAAACCTTGGAGTCTGGTTTGACTCAAACCTATCTATGGTTGATCATATCACCAAGACTTGCTCTGCAGCGTTTTACTATCTTTATAACATTAGAAAATATTTAACAAAAGAATGCACGGAGACACTTATTCATGCCTTTATATCTAGCCGCTTGGACTATTGTAACAGCCTCCTATTTGGAGTTCCTGAGTGCCATCTTCACAAATTACAGAGAGTCCAGAATGCAGCTGCACGCCTCATATTCCAGGAGGGCAGATTTTGTCATATCACACCTCTGCTCAAGTCACTACACTGGCTACTTGTAAAAAATATCGCATAGTTTTTAAAATTACCCTAATTAATTTTAAAGCAATACATGGTCTTGCCCCGGCCTACACAAGGGAGCTGATTTCTGTTAGAGACACCGGAAGATATGATTTACGTTCAAATGACGGCTTACTCCTGGCTCCTTGCAAGGGTAAAACACTTACCACGCTCGGCGATCGATCTTTCCATGCGGCCGCCCCTAAACCGTGGAACGATCTTCCGGGCTCTATCAGAAACAACCAATCTTTAAGGCCAGGTTTAAGGCCATTAGGACTTTGTATCTAATTTTATATTTTTACATCTTCTTAGTGAACATTTTTATGTTTTTTAATTTGTTTTATTTCTTATTTTCTATTTATTTTTTTTTAGTTCTTAGTATCTATGTAGGGTTGAATTTTTAACATTTAATTTTAATGAGCAATTGAAAATTCTTTTAATTGATAATTGCGCAAAATGAATCTATAAATTATTATTATTGATGAATAAAGATAACACTGGAGATTTCAAAATATTAACCAATTCAACATACGTCCTAAGATACCGAAAGGGTTGCACTTTACCCGAAATATGGACAAAACTATCGAGAAATTAGCATCATAAGACTTATTACATAGTTTACCGTAAATTAAAAGGCTGACTTCTAAACAGTTCAAATAATTGGCAAGTGCTAGATTTCAAAAAGTTCCAAAAGTGTTCATCTTGCAGAAATAGCGAGTCGTTTGACTCGGAAAATGTGAAGTGAGTAATTTTAATTGTTAGGAGTTGAAATTACGGTTCGGTATTGAGCAGGAATATGCATAAAAGTACTCATTGCTATCGCGACATGTTTTGATTATCATAAGCACGTACAACTACATATTTATTATTGTAATACTTACTGCTCATTTCATCACATTGCTCAGATTCACGCTCATTTAGCGTTGTTTCCTTCATGTCCAAGAATCCATTCTCTCCGTCATGGGCTCCCGTTTTCTGTCTCTGAAACGAAGTTCTGCCGTCCTTCAGTGAGTCAGTGCCATTGTTCAAGGGTGACGCTCCGTCAGGTTCGGGGACATGACCAAGCTCGTTGTCGGTCCAGTCTCTTCCGACCGAATGTAAACGCATACTTCTTTAGGAGCCTCGTTTGTCTCTCCATTGTGTGAGCTAATATTGTTTGTAGAGCGGCAGCTAAGTTCCATATGTAACTAGTAGCTGAGATCGCTCCTGGAAAGATTAAACTCTTTTTTTTTCGTCTACGAGTCTCTCTCGATGTTATCCTGGCCATGGCGTAAACATCGACGATTTTTTTTAAAAAAATCAGATATTTGTTGGTTATTGAGATGTTGTAAAAATATGTAAGCCAAATCAGGTGAGAACACAACAATAATTTTTTTTATTTCATCTCAACGGCACGAAAAATTTTATCGTATGCTTACGAATTTTTGTTCATCTTCAACTTGGCAATTATAACTTTGGCAGAGAGATTAATTCACCTTTATATCAAGGCGAACAAGAACTTTCTACCGTCAGTGATTGAGATTCATATTTTTTTACATTATATTTTTCAAATTAACACATGTTCTACTAAATATGACAATAAAATGAGTGATAAACGAAAATGGGTTGTTCGTGTGCTCCTTTCAATATCTTTGCAGAGGGCTTCGTTAAAAAGAGGTTATTCTGATCGATTTTTTCATAGTAAACAATATAAGTCTATGAGTTCTTTTGTATCGTCTCCTGCTTCCGAATTTGGTTTGATATTCTTCATCGCTGGATGGTTTTGAGATTTAGAAAAGGACGCAAGTTTATTTATCCACCGATCTCAGCCACGACAAGGGATTCTTGAAACATAAAGAGAAAAAAGGCTATAAGAATACATTAAAAACAATTTAAAGTAATAATAATAAAATGATAATAATGATAATAATAGTACAATTGTCATGTTAAGGTACAGCTTTTTATGAATTATTTATATATACGTAGGGTGGCCTTCCAGAGCTGAACGTCCCGCATTTCATCTTTGATCTCTAATAATAATAATTAATTATTCATGTTCGTGTTAAAGTCAATCTTCGTCCCAGCGCTGGCCAAGTTTGCGTTGCTGAGTCTTAAAAAAGTTCTGTTCGTCCTTTTCTTTTTGCGGAGAAGACAGCCAAACATTTTCAACTTTTTCTTACGTTCTTAGTTTGATGGTGGTATTTTAATAACGATTACATTATACCTTCATTTTGATCTCTTTTGATAGGTCACCTTCTGAATGATGTCTAAAACTCTACAAAAAAAGATAGAATTAGATCTAAACATAAACATTTAGCTATTGTCCTGAAAACAGGCGACAAAGGTAATATGAATGACCGAATGAGAACAAAGATATTTTGAGCGCGTTATAATTATAATGAGTCATATTCACCATGATAGTGGTGATAATGATGATAAGATTCTACCTGCTTGTTTGAGTTCAATGAAATAAAAACCTGAGGCAAAATGCAATTAGGAACTTGTAGAATGACATAAGACTACCAACAATTATGGACTACCAAGGCCTCTGATAAGTCGGTCGTACAAAATTTCATCTATCATGTTAATTGGTTGTCAAAACCTGGGTTTATCTCTCCCTCGATATAAATCAAATGTTTCATGAAACTCCCTCGATGAGCTTCTAACAATTCACATACAATTTGCATGTAATATTAAGTAATTAAATTGAAAAAATGTTAGTCTATTAGAAATTACCAGCCTTCCTTTATAACTTGGCTTTCCCTCTGTTGTACTTTGATGGAGTAGTCCTGACAGCAGCTTTTCAACTTCCTTGATTTGCACCTCATGTTGCGTTTTCCATTTGTGTAATTCTTCAGCTCGATCCTTATGCCGCTCGTCCGAAAGTTGGCTCTGAGTACGCACCAAATCGATTTTGGAGAAAAGTTTTATTTCTTCTTGCTGGAGTTCCATAGTAAAATCCAAAAGTTGAGAAATACAATTTACATTATTTTCACTTTGTTGTGCAACCTCGGCCGTCAGCTTAATAACAGCTTCAAACCTTCTCTGGAAAATGTTGCGATGTTCTTCACATAACTGTAGCAGTTTTTCCACGCTTTCATCGTTTGGTGGATCCACCTCTTCATTTAATAAACTGCTTGTTGGCTCTGTTTTGTCTTTGGAAGCATCTTGACTCCCATCTGTTTTATCAAAATTTCCATTAGCCAGTTGCCCTTTCTTTATTTGGAGCCTCAGGTCTTGAAGCTCTGATGAAATATAACGCTTTAAGCTTTCCTGTCTTGCTACAACAACAGTTTCTAAAAATCTCTTGCTTACAAGTGTCTGTTAAAGCAAATGAAATACAACCGGGTGAAAAAACTGAACAAAAACTATTAAATAATTTTCGAAGACGTACCGGGCCTTGAATCACGGGTGCATTTTTCCAAATACTCATTGAAACATTCTAATTGGATAAATGGGATAAGTAAATAAGTTACCTCTTCCAATTTCAAAAAATTGTCACTGCTGTTGAATGCTTTAACCATGAATTTATTTCCCTGTGCATCTTCGCACACCATAAGCTAAAAAAAATGACAAATAGTTGTATGCAAGCATATTTTAACTTATTTTACGAAAAATATTTGCTAAAGCAACATAATTTTGTCATTTTACTTTTAAAGAGTGGTTGATGATGAAGCTATGTTCAGAGAATGGTGGAAATCCACCTAAGTGGTATTTCTGGTCTACGGCTGATGTAAATTCCATCCTTTCGTTCACGAGTCCCAATCATTAGAAAAAATTGAAGTGATTAGCTCTGGAGAGGTCGAGGGCACACGTACCAGTCAATAGCTCGGAAATGAAACATAACTTTGTTGGAACAAATTATGAATATTGTTTTTGTGAAAATTACATCTTTCAGTGCTTATTGTAGAAAACGTGTTGTTAATTACTAACCTTATCAAGCCCTTCACCCAAGTTATGGATAACTGTTAAACTGATAACATGGCCCTTAGGAATGCTTCCACACCTCAGCATTTTCGCATCATCCACTCCTAAATAATAGAACATATGTTGAAAGGAAAGTATTTTAAGTTAAGAGTTATTCATCGATCAGTTTGAAGCTTCATTATCCACCCAAGGGCAGCACCCCGGAACAAATTACACCAATAAACTAATGTAACCATTTAGAATATCTGCAGCCAGGGAAAGATTCCTATTCCTTCCAATAAAGCAATTTCTTAACTTAGCAACCCTTATAATAGGATAGCTAGACAATTCACGGTTTTCGTAAAACCAAACCCATAGTTTTGCTAAATGTCAATTAGAATAAAGCCAAATATCACTGGTCAGGAGCCAGAGGGAGTACAAAGCATAAAGAAGCAAAATATTTGAAGCGTGGGCCTACTTGTCACCTTTGATCTTAATCTTGAATTCCATCGGTTGAAGGAGTGGGGCAAGTTTCCCGGGCCCATTAGACAACAAAGCTGGCCAAAATCAACTCTATTAAGAATTGCTCTATTAAGAATTGCAAAATCCCTGAAATAGTAAGCGCGCTCAAATTAATCATTAGGTGTGTTTAGATAAGGATGAGTTAAAGATATTAGCTATGTAACAAATAGATTCCAAGTTGCCGTGCGACTGTTCAGTAATAGATCACAGATGATGTGAACAAATGTTTTCAGTTGTTGTCAACTGTTTTCTAATACTCTATTTAAACCAGCAAAACATATTTTGTTCAACTGGTTTTTACTGAATGTTAACCATAAACAGATTCAAGTACTTGCTGACTTGCATTTTCAATGTACTACATTTTAAATAAAAAAAATCAGGTTCAGTAGTCTCTATGAAGTAGAAAAAAATTAACCGGTCTTTAACAAAACAACCTAAAAAAATGTCTAAGCTTTGGTGTGAATGGGGTAGAAGACTTCGTCGTATAGTTATCCATCCGGTTTGTCAGTTGTACATACATTTTAGTAGCAATCTTCACAGGCCACTCACTCATCTTACCAGGTATACCTACTCACCAAGAAGCTTTTCTGCTATGCATTTTTTCCCAATGCTTTCTAAAGCATCCGCTAAACGCCCTGCCACTGCACTGCTCCCTTCTTTCTGTTTCCACATGAGGAGTAAGGCGTTTGCTTTGTCGCGACTACAGCGATAATCGTTGTCTAGATTTTGGATCTTTGCTGCAGGGATATCAAGCTTTGGTCCAAGCTCACGCCAGCAAGTACCTACGTCATCACTTATGTCTGAAAGCAGCAGTTCTGTCACCACAGAGGTCCTTGGGTCGTTTAAGTCTCCTGTGTGTATTTAGAGATATTACATTCTTAGCTACATTAATGTTTTAGTTGCATGCAGTTTAAATATTGGATTGCGTGAGGTATCATAGTCCAAAAAACGTTATCTTTTTGCCCTGGAGTAGAAAAATAACCAGGTGCTCATAGGACAATAATAAGTTGGTGGGCTTAAGCTTCCGTTTAATAATTCAGTTGATTCTAAACAGCCAAATTCTAAACAGCCAAACTCGTAAGCGGTAAGTTACTTGAGTGACGATGTTTTAGGGATTGGTAAGGACTTGGTTAAATTGCCTTTGCAAAGAAAATCAGACTTGAAGGATTCTAAATCTCGGCTTTTCTTTTATCGCGTTTAATTTTTGGGGAGCTGATTTTAATTTTAAATTATTCTGGTTTCTAGCAGCTTCATCAATACTAGTTATATCAGGGTTTTTTTTTCACATATCTTCAGTTATATTATAGTTCGGATATAACGCGCGCTGTCATTGGTTAAAAGAGAGCGTTCTATCAAAGTACAAAACATGGTGCTGAGTTATATGTGTCACGTACGTCATCTGCCAATTTGTAGAATGTCCAACCATTTCTCGGACTTCTCTCAAGCTTTATTTTTGTTAATTGAAGTGAAATTTCGGAACAAGGAACCGCCAGATAACAACAGAGTAACAAAGGTTTGTAAACATGCCAAGCACAGTAATTGACATTATTATTACGCGATCAGAGACGAAAATCATTAAGAGAAAACGAAACGAATTGTCAAAGTTTTGAAGGTCTTCACGCTCAGTTATATCATAAGCTTACGTCTGGTAATAAAACTCAAACACAGCTAACACTCGCATACAGGATACATAGTTTCGTGTACAAAACAAAACAGAACAAAACAGGAGTGATGAAAATATAATCAAACTGGCATAACTGTTAAAATCTAAACAATTCTTGATGTTGACAAAGTGACTGCGATAATGCTGTGGTCCGTCGCGGCTAGCTCATTGTGGCGATCTCCGGTCATCACAAAGAAGCAAGCCTCAGAAATTTCATCGTTCGCCCTTCGAGAGAACTGATATCCTTTCCGGTGCGTTGGCCACATCAGTCGCAGTACCTGAGTTTTTCGGCGCTGTTATCAAGGAATCTTCTTTTCCTGTGAATTCGGCTGTCTTTCATTCGTAAAGCCTTGAGCAGTTTGATTTCGATTTGTTGAGAGAAAAATTAAAGCTTGCATGTTTTATGAGCCTCAATTCGACCAGATATCACAGAACATTTCACCTCCAGATTCAAGCAAAAGCGTTGAATTCGATCTGCCGACTATTTTAATAGGTGAACTATTACGTATTTTGAACTTCGTTGGTTTAACAGTTTTGACAGCTTTTATCATATTCAACCAATCAGATTATTTAAACCACTTTAACAAGGGTTTTGATCGGCTTATATAAGCGCGTTTTACGAGAGTATGGTGTTTAAAATAGAATAAAAAAAGAGTTAATCTTCTTTACTTGTCAACAATAACGCTCGAATAATAATTATTTGCTCAAAGGCACGTGTTTACCCAGGGGGAATTGCGAAATCCCCCTCTCAGACCTAAATGTAACTCAATAAATCGAAAATATTCTAGAACTTAATTGTCACTCAACAACTAAGGAATGTTGGGGGTCACCACAAGAGTATAACACTTTTGTTCGCTTCGGAAATTCACATTTTGTTTTGAAAATAAAAAGTAATGCAGGGGAATTTGACGAATTTGATTTTAAAGCACTTAGAAAGCGGTTGGAGCCAAAAGTAGGGAGAAATATTCGACTACGTCTCGTGTTCCTCCCCTACACTTCTAGCCGCTTTCTGTGTGCTTTATAACAGCACAGAGTACATGCAGTCAAGACTAATTCCTTATTTGTTAAGCAGACGTGATGGATTTGTAACGTCATCCAACAAAAAAAAACTCTGATTTAACTCACGTTTCCAAAATCCTTGAATGAAGACAAAAAATTTTTCGTTCACTTTAAAGGCAAAAAATTTACTACAGCGATAGGCATAATTTCAGTTTCCCGTTTGTGGTTCATCGAAAGAGCCATCCCCAACTCTCAAATATCTACCTAATACGTGATTATTTTATTGAAATTTCTATTTTGCAAGTAATCGGAGGTTTCCTACTAAGAGTAATTTTAGCTTTTCTTTATTGGCATCAAGTTGGAACACAATCTGAGCCGGATACAAAATTTCCATAATCTGATGTCAAGCCGGCTAAAATTCTTGGTACCATCGACGCCAATAATTCATCGAGATTTTGTTCTTTACAAATAAGTTTAAAGCTTCAATCCTGACATTAAAATAGGAGCAGCATGATAAACTTTGCAAGAAAAAATTCGAGCCAATTCGACTTAGTTCCTTTCCAGTCTTGTTCTGTTCCCTTTATCTTTCCCATTCTAAAATCATTATAGCGGAACATATCTTAACCTTATACATTATAAATATCGCTCTACATTATCAACGCCGAAATGCAACAATCTCGCATACAAATCACACCTGAACAACTACACTAACATTACGAGATATATAGAGCTTTAAGGTTAATTAGAATACCGGTTATATGACAATTAAACAACACAGATTAACCACTTTTAGATCGATGACAAGCACCCACGAAGACTGCCAAAAAATTTGAGATTTAAATTACTGTTATATGATTGATTACATTATTATCTTTGCCAATACAGAAAAACGAGCACTTGCAGAACCAAATGATGATACTTAAAACTGATCGTGAACACAAGAAGTTTTCTGACAAGCTACCGAAACTGATGTAAACTTAAAGGCCATATATCTACCTCGTACACATAATATGGTGAAAGCTTACTTTTCATTTCAATAGCATTCTCAGCTTCTATTCCGCGTGTCGCAGGCAATGTCGGCGTCTTTGTTTCCTCGGAAGCCATAGGACTTGCTTTTCTTTTTTCTTCCTCCTGTTGTTTCCTCAGTAAAACTTTACTTTCTCTCTGTAAACTGATCAAAGCTTCGATGTTCACCAGAAGGCCATTTTCGACAATATTTTCACATCTTGTCACAAGGGAATAAATATTATTCAAGTTTTTGGCTAAGCATCCCTTCTCGTTAACTGGAAGCTACTCGGATCCTTGTGGTGATATTGACAGAATTGACAGCATTCACCTTCAAGCCAGTTGGTACGACAAAGTGTAGCATAACCTGCGAGGCAGGCGTCTCATTAGAGCGAGTTAACGTTAAGAAGTTCACGCTTGTGTAATCGACCGTACCATGTTTCAGAGAGTCGACGGCAGAGGAGAATGCGGGATAGGGCGGAAGTATTCATAGCCTCACCCCTTCCCCTCTCCTTATTTTTACCCGTCACTCACCCCCTGGATACCAATTTTTTCTCTCCCCAGCCTTGCGCTGCTGTAAAATCAAATATGGCCGCTAAAAGTTTTACCAAGATAATACTGAGCACTCGCCCGCGAAAATTACGACTGCTCTGCAGGTTAACTATCGCAGATTACTACGGTTCACCCCTCGTGGATGTTAATCTGATATTTACAAAACACCGAAATGCCACGTCTTGCCATGAAAAGCGAAAAACTAAATATAACGATTGCAAGCTTCTTAGACGCGGGCTCAGACGCATTATTGCCAGTCGGCGGCTTTGGATATTCTATAAGTGGCGGTCTATAAACTCTTCTCACAAAATCTGTGCTTTTCTTTTCAAACTTAAGCTAAATATCATATAAGTGTCGTGTTCGATTCTTTTCTAAGTCATTGTTGGAAAAAGACACCGCTTTTAATCAGGGATTAAGTGCAAATAATGACACTTGAATTATCAGAAAACCCATTTTTCTTTGGACATAAATCGGACTTAGAACATAATGCCGCATTTTGTTATTAATGAGGGACCAAGTCACATTGTTTAGGGGGAGGGTGGGGGTGAGAGGAATATTCATCAAGTGGGGATCGGAAGGGGGATGGTTCATGAAGTGGTCGCCAAAAGAGTATAAAGAAGGGGGCTATAGAAAACTCACCAGGTGGGATCAGGTGAATTAATTGTGACTAAGAGACAAATGATGACCTTGCTAAATTATAGGACTTACCAACTCCAGCCGGTCAATTTTTTAAAGAATTGTATGACAAAAATGCCATTGGAACTTACAATATGAACCATGTCCATGAAGCTGACAGTTAAAAGCTTGCTGGTCAAATATTCTGATTGAGTTTTCATTCCTTATCAACCTTTTTCTTTAAAACCATCCCAATAACTATATAGTCGTACAAACTACTGGTCCTCGAAGGCTATAGAATGGTCTAGTTGTGCCAAGGAAGTTTACTGCATTTACCAAGAGCGCGACGATAAGGCTAAAATTAAGTCAACAGATAACGCATATAAAGGACCTCTTAAAGCGCATGGAGATAGAAATATCAGGAAGTGAGTTAACGGAAATAAACTATGTCTCTGTATTGACTTCGCTGTAGTTGAGGATTAACATGTTATAAATAGATTTGAAACAAAAAACAGGTCTTCCTACTAATTTGAGAAAGTGAGGGAGGGGGAGAGTAGCGTCCTGCGGGCACACGGTTAGGCATTGCACGAGGGCTTCACGTGAGCTAGTAGATGAAATTTGCCACCCGCGGTTTGAGCGGGAAATCGAACCGGTCAGGATGTAGTTGATCGGTAATTCTCAGTATTTTGCAATTTCTAAACAACTCGTAAGACAACAATACCGGCAGAGTTTAAGCTTTGTCAACCGGAGAAATTGTTATAATTCAAGTTCGTGGAGAGAGGGTTTTAATTAAAAATAGGCTGGATATAAAGAGACAGAGCGACCAAAGAAAGCAACAAGTAAACGGCGTAAAGCGAGTCCAGAAAATCGCGCAAGAAAGCTACAAAAGACGCCAAAATAGGCAGAATACGGCGAGAGGAACACGAAAGAGAACAATAAAGGACATAAGTAAAAAGGCGAGTTTCTAGCGAAGAGCAACGCGAGAAGGAAATACAAAGTCGCTTCTGAAAACAGACAGAAAAGAGATCATCAACAAAGAGAAGCGAACTGCAAAGGATCCGTGAAAGCAGAGAAGGTAAGTCGTGTCCTATCTGGGTTTTCTCTTGCGCTAAGACCCAGAAAAAAATTCAAACTTTTTTTTTTCCAATCGTCGTTTGATACTAGCTTCAGTTTTTAATTCAACTGATCACGTTTCGGTTAAACATTGACTCTGGCATTCATCGCCTAGAAACTCTTACGCCGGATCATCGCTCAAATAATGTTGCATAGAGTTCGTATTCTTCAATTTATTTCTTGTCCTTTCGTTTGAAAGTTTAATACAGTCGCGGTGTTATGGGAAAAGAAGTTATCTTACGTATTTTGTTTTGCCTAGAAAGTTTACAAATGATGTCGAACGGCGAGCGCAAGTTTCTACTTTTTTTTCTCTTCAGTTAGTTATCGCAGGATTTACTCTGTTCATTTGAAATATTTGGGCTTTGCCGAAGATGTGTTATTTTACCCTAAGAACGAAGTGATGGCCTTTCCCAAAATTAAAATAAAATGGGATTCAGTAAGCGATGTTCATGTTTATATTAAGTCTAACGCGGTAATTTAATTTTGACGATATTGTCACGTGAGAACCCGTCAAACATCTGAGAATCAAACTAGACCCTGTGAGCAGGGTAACTGGGATACCTGGATGGTACTGGATTCGTGGAATCAAGTGTAGTGATACTACGCGTGTCGGACTAGTATACTGAAATAGTGAGCTCAAGTCTGGCCAAGGGCATACACCTGTCTCAAAACATAGGCATGCTATGCATGCAAGAGTTATTTTTTCTAGGGTGGGTGGATTACTTGAAACATTGTAAGTGGTCTACATTCTTACAAAAGGAAAGAAGATTATTAACGCGGGAAAGAATGAAAATGTCGAATTACCTCACACACAGGTATTTTGTGGTAGATTTTGTGTGTTGTGCGAATAAATGTAACCAAAAATAAACTGTATTTGTGCCACGGATACCTGTTAGTACAAAATGTAGACAGCAGACTGCAGACCGGATACAAAATATAGACTGCAGAGTGGGTAAAAAATGCAGACTGAGAATCTGAAGAGTTTTTACGTCTGGTATAAAATAACATGTCATCTTACAGCTTACGGAGCGTCACGCAATCGCTTTTCCGCGATCAGCCTTCACGATTATTTGCACTATTGTGGAAAATTCCTGGCCCATTTCTTGATGAAAATCGATCGTAATATAATTTCAAGCCAACATAGTCTTCAACACAGTCTTCATAGTCTTCTTCGCGTTCAAGCCAACATAGTCTTCTTACTTTGCGCGCGAGTTGGTTGGTGTGATGTCTGTACAGATTTTACCAATGTAATAAAAGTAGATGACGTGAATAATAGTGATGGTAAAGCAAGCTTAAAACGGCAACCAATCGCCAGAAACTACAACGGATACACAGGGTATGAGCAAGTTTTATTGATTTTTCGAGAAAAATCTTCATATTTCGAAATATTTATTGTTGTAAATCGACCATATTTCGTTCCCTATACTATTCCTTATAACGTGTTCAAATTTTCAACGGTTCCTGGAATAACTTACTCTGAGTCACACAACGCGTGACGCGTTCGTGAATTAATCGTTGGCTCTTTCTCGAAACGTGACCTTGGGTCGCCTGTGACAAGACAATTGCGTAAACAATACTTGTCTTGGCCCTGTCCGTGCATGACAACGTCAATCATCATCAAGATAGCACGCGTAATCAGCATGTGAACACCTCATTGGATCACAGTTAGTTGTCATGGTGTTGAGGGCCCAATGACCTCTGGGTACTATTGCGCAATTTTTCCATTTTGTGGCGGAGGAAAAAAAAAGACGACAAAAAAACAAAGGCATTTTATGACTGGGCAACCACAGGTATCCCAGTAATTACGAACCGCAAATGTGTGGTGCAAACAAACTCACGGGTAAAATGGAGACGGTTCTACAGCGGGATGAGTGAATTTAATTGTTTGGTTGTCTTACTTTTCAGCGCTATGTTTTCAAGCTTTCTACTCGATTCGTTCGAACTTCAGGAAATGGTTTGTGTCACAAAACATGGAGCCACTTTCTCTTCGCTCAACATCTCAAGGCGTTATGATGAACATGCTTGCGATACGATATTTTTTTCCTTATGCTGGAAACTGTAGAATTAATCTCTGAAATTGGTAGTCTTCACATTTTGCAAGAAGCGTCCGAGCTGTGATCGTGCAATTAACGGGGTTCTGGCAATTTGACCTCACAAGCGCGCTGGTAAGCACATGGTTCGCGTAAATAATTGTTGTTACAGTTATCAAATTCAAGAGCAGTTTTTGAGAGTCTGTTTCTGTAACCTTCCTGGATATTTTCTGTTAAATTCATTGAGGTTTAGTCTCGGAATTTCATAAGCGATTATGAATGATAGATTCGTACCGGCACCATAATTTAGGGAAATTTTGTCAACATATTAACAGTTTCCATCTTTTTGTTTTTGGCATTTACTATTTTAAAATTCATAAATGGCATTCCCTTTTCATCCTTGTAAAATGATATTGCACATTTCTTTAACTAAAATATGAATTATGAAGTCAACTTAATTTCAATGAGTTTGAAAATTCATTCTACATAAGAACCCTTTACTGGTGTATACTGTTATATTTATTTGCTGTCTTTCTGTAACACATAATTACCCTGTGTGTCTCAACCCTTTAACTCCCAAAATTTCATGAGTAATCCTCCTTACTGTCTGCCATACAATTTATGTGGTGTTAAATTTGAGAATTTGGAACTGGATCAACCAATAATTCTCAAATTGATATTTGTCTTAATTCTCATTAATTGTCTGCTTTATGTCATACTAATAGTGCAAGGAGAAATTCTGTCTAGGTTAACAGTGAGACTTAACCCTTTAACTCCCAAGATCTCATTAGTAATTCTCCTTACTATCTCCTATACAGTTCTTCTGATGTTAGTTTGGAGGATTTAGTATTGGATCATCTTATAATCCCCTGACTGATATTTTTCTTAATCTCATCTCTTGTCTGCTTGATATTGTTTTGATATTGTAAGGAGAAATTCTTTCTTTGTCACTTATGGGAGTTAAAGGGTTAAAATGGGGGATTTCAACATATTGTAATGATTAAAATATTCTTATGC